GGCTCACACTTTACTGAATGGTCAGCCACATGGATAAGACGCATCAATGAAGGCCTTTCACAAAGGGCTGACACTTTACTGATTGGTCAGCCACATGGATAAGACGCATCAATGGAGGCGACTCAGCTTCACTCAGCGGGAAATTCACCCAGGGACTATCTGAGGAATTGTTCTTCGAGAGACAGAAGGGCAGACGTCTAGTTGACGGTAAATCCCAAAAAGGGAGGTAAGGGCAAAAGTAAGGTTCGCTGGCAGAAGGGAGGCAGTAGATCGGCCAGTGGGCCTGAAACAATGATTACGATTAGTCTCATCGAAAAACCTATAAACTTGTGCCTAACTAGGGCCCCCAGTTGCTTCTAAACCATTTGCCCATCGATTAGACCCATGAGATGTGATATGGTTTACGTGCAAAAACATTACGGATGTTCAGTTGATGGACACTGAAATAGCACTTGGGGTGGCATCGATGCCTGAGTAGGTATAGACCAGAACTCTATGACGTATGACTAAGACAGTGAAGTCACTACGTTATAGGTACCCTCCGTTAGTCTAGCCGTTAGCATCACACCGTGATATCACGGACGGTCAGCATCGGCAGCTCTCCGGTAGTGGGGAATGAGTATTAGATCAGTGAGCTAGTACTATGAGGCTAATAGTGTCATTACTTAGTCTAGTAATATGAGGCTAACCATGACTGTAATGGAGGAACTTTCATTTTGTGCTGTTGCGTTGGTCCACAGTTGGGGAAACATTGAACCTTCGGTAAATACTGGTCGATATATGAGTTGAACTTATTGAGTTCTTGAGTGCTAATACGCCAAAATGTTTGGGTTGCCTTTCATAATAGAAAATGTATATTACAAAAATTCCATTAGCCTGAATCAGGCTGGCTAATGGCGTAAGAGCTTTACTTCATAGTCGACCCTGTTGCCCACTTCACAGGTAATGCGGGATTGGGCGATGTCAATCGCCAGTGACGTATGGATGGTATACTACCAGAACACCTGTAGTACTGTACTACTAGTACAGGCTTTTCACTTGATGACCATAAATGGCCCGACTGGACGGTTAGATAGACTATCCAACATGATGTCGATCATTTTGACCCATTTTATTTGACATCATGTGTCGCCGACGATTAGGCGGCGAAGGGCCCTACATTCACAAACTAGGTCACACAAGTGAGTATTATCTGCTAGTTTGACCATCCAAGACCTACAGCGGCCTAAAACTCGCTGGCGCTATGACATGGAAAACCGAAACTAACTCGCCACAGAGTCACAAGGCTCGTGTTCGGGTTTCATGTTTAGGTTTTCCTCCCGCATACTCGTATTCGTGGGATTTTACACGCAATAATCAACCTGGACTCAGCACCACACGATACCATGCTGGAAAATAATGAGGCGTCAAAAAGCAGATACTATAGCCGCGTTATGATCACACCTGCCCCAGAAGCAGGTGCTCAGGCTGTGATGAGACTCATTGAAGAAGTTGAGCGATAGGAGGACAGAAAAAAAGCGCCACTCCTCAGTAGGAGTGGCGGCAAGAGCCGATGACGTTTCTCGGCAGACAGAAGACTTAACAGGGATCGGGAGTACCGTGATCGAGATAACAAGATTTGTAGTACACATTTTGTACTATCCAGGGCCACAATCAGATGTTGAAAAGGTTGATCTCCTCGTGATTAAAGACACTCAAACTACCCGTGTGACTGTAGAAGGGCGCCCAGATACCATAAGCAACAGGGAAGTCGAGTGTGTACTTCAGGAAACTTCCACCTGTTGATTGAACGAGGAAGGTACCCTTAACTATGAATCCGGTGACTAGGGCATCGAGTCCACCCTCCAGCGGGATGTAGTTTCCGATCAAATTATCGGCACCGCCACCGACCACTCCAACACCACCGAATGTAGCAGTTAGCAGATCTGTGTTACCAGCCTTGAGCGACACCGAGCCACTGAGTTCATAACCACAGGCTATCTTCACTGGACCATCGGAATGCCTAGGGTTCCCACCGTCCAGAATTTGAAGACCAGCGGTAGCCTCGAGGCGTACTTCGCCATCGGTTGCAAAGACGACGGCAGTGCCCCCACCAGATATATGGAGGTCAACAGCAAGTTTGCTCTCCTGGACGAGTATGAATCCGGCCGAAATACGTTTTTCATCGGGCGAATAATGGTCGAACAGCGATCCTTTGACATCGATGGTAGAATCTTTCGTGTTTATTCCAGCATGGACACAGAAGATGTCACTATCCGGCTTCTTCGTCAAGCTACACTCTGCAGGGAAAGCCATTTGAAGAACAGCTTGAAGGTGCCTACCATGGTTTTGATCCTTAAAGTACTCTTCAGCAGCACTGTTTGGTTCAATACCAAAATACTTGATAGGTTGAAATATAGATGACGCATTGTTATTGCGAAGACCTCGAGCGCCGCGACCGTTCTTCATCCAATCCAGTACCGACCAACGTCTTTCATAAGCCGAATAGAATAGACGCTCAGCTTCTGACAAGTACTTCCCAGACACAATCGCGGTACTGTGAGTATGGAATGCAGAGCTGACGAACGGGTTCTGTGCTGACATGTTGTATTCAACAGAACTCGCATAAGTGGCGTGGAGCTCGTCAACAGCCTCCTTGAGGCTCATATCCCCTTTGAGCTCGCCGTAAGCTGTCACCAACACTTCTTGATAGAGTTCGTTACCCATATAGCTATTCCTGGCCTCCATCTTCAATACTTTACCATCAACATTTCCATCCATGTACACAGTGAAGAAGTCGGCCCCCAGTCCTTCCTTAGCGAACCCATCAAGTGTATCACCTCCTGGCATGTTGGCGGCGTAGCCGACGAGTACCCGTGCCGGAGTCCCATCGAGGTTGGTTTTTCCAACCTCAGTGAAGCCGAACTCAGTAAGGTAGGTGGCATATCTAAAGGCCTGTCCCTGAGCCTCGTAGTTAGTGTTACCATCTACTGCGCTTTCACTGAGGACCTTCGCAATTCCCCCGAAGACTTCCTCATGTTTACTATAATCAGCAGAGTTGGCCGTGAGCACATATTTGTACGGTCTGTTAGGAAGGGCTTGGACTCTAGCCATACCATCATCAGTCAAAATAATATCTTCTCTTTCGG